AAAAAAAAAAAAAAAATCAAGGAACCACAGGAGGAAGGCAACCCCAAATCAAAAAATTTCTGCTTGTCAAGTATTTGTTAATTATTTGATCCATATTTTTTTTTATTAGAGACTCATGTAATACAATCCAAACTATTGTAATTCATTTTATAAATTTATTAGAATACCTTTAATGATATGTTAGTAAATTTATGAAGTAAACTACATTGTTAATATACAACTCATCTTATAAAATACTTTATTTTATTTTATTTTATGAATCTATGGATGAGTTCTAGAACATTCGATTTTAATTGTTGATTACATTGTGAATAGATCCTAAGATTAAATGTTGAGATTTAAGTAATATAGAGGTGTTAGTTAGCTTATTGAACCACTGGAATTGATTTTTTTGTATTTGAACGAATGTTATTGTAGTGTTTATTGCTTGGATTTGGTTGTGGTTTTCTCATAAGAAAATGTCTGTTCGTGAGATCAATCCTCCCTAATTTGTTTTTTATTCTCTGTTCTTTTTTTTTTTTTTCTCTTCTTTTTATGTTCATTGCTCTATTTCTCTTTTTTTAATTTTCATCAATTATTGTATGCTTCTTCTTATGATGTCTAGAATATTAAGCCTCTATCTGTTAGGTGTAGTTGAATTCATGATACTTTTTCTGTGGCATTTTACACCAGATTTCGGTAGTTGTTATTATTTTTTTCTACGGACCTAAATTTGACCATTTTTGTTTAGGAACAGCAACAGTGTGACAAATAATCTGTTCAAATTTTTGAAGTGTTGTGTTTTTCTCTTTTCTCTTGTTTCCTTGATAAGGAAAATTGTTATATTTCATATTATTTATACAATTGGTTGGTCTACAATTGCAGAAGTTATTGAGCGTCAAATCTACAATGGCATAATATCAAGTTAGAATTACTACCACATTATTATGACTTGACCCAGTCCCAAGGCAATACAATTCTGTATTGCTACTTTCCATGGGAAATAGCTCACATTATATGGACTTAACAATGCATGGTAGGCATTTCTTTTTCATGTCCAATCAAACATTTTCCTAGGTGATATTTTCAGCCCATGAACGCTATTTAACTTTTGACTTCATAATACATGATTTTGGGATGGCAGGTAATTCAATTATTGCTCCACATGCAAAACAGAGGTATCACACCGTGATTAAAAAACCATAGCTTCATATAAATCATGTCAGATTTCTCTTCTTCTTCTTCTTTTTCTCCAGCTTTTGTGTTTGTTTCAATATATGTTATGGTTTCAGAGTATGAGTGTCGGTTTGCTTTTATATTAGTTTCTAGGAATTTTTTCATTTTGCTTACAGCTATTTTGGTCTGAAATAAACGCAGATTTAGTTCTTATTTGCCTTGGAAGCTAGAATTTCTTAGGATAAAGCTTAGCCCGAACCAAGTTAAACCCATGAATATTGATGTATTTTTGAGTTTGTAGGATATTTAGAGAAAGTTTTTCTAAAATTTTAAAGTCAGTCTACTGTTAAAGTATTTTGCTTTCAACCTTCTGTCTCAAGTAGTCTTCATTCTTCAACTTCAACTCTACAAGAGGATAACTATTAGTTTATTCCCTAACCATTTCTCTCAAATTCCCCCCTTTTTTTTTCCTCTTACATCTCTAACTGTCCATAACCATTATGATGCTTATTCTCTACATGTAATTAAAGAGTGTGTGTCTGACTTTCTCTATGGTAAGTATAAATCAATTCATTTTTATTTGATTTCAAAATTATAAGTATTTTGATCTTCTATGAATTCATTTCGCATTAAAATTTTGAGTTTAAGTTTAGCATAATTTTATGGCCTAATGGAAACGAGGGCCGAAAAAATTGTCGGTGACAATACCAAACTAGTAGTAGCCGGCACAAAAAGTCAATTGCTTGATGATAGAGGTATATAAAATTTAAGAGGAAATTGGCAGAGTTGAAAATTAAGATTACTTAAAGAGATTGCATTATTATTAAAAGAAGTGAAGAAGCCATGAGGGGTGTCAAGTGTTTGTGCTTCCGCCAGGTATGCCTTGCAATAAATAAGACATGAAATTGATGGACACAGTAACAAAGAATGGCAATAATTAAAATAAAGGGGAGCCAATATTAATTGTCGGTAGATGTACCACTGGATTTATAGTTGTATTTTTAATTTTTTTTAAGGTACCAGTGCTACATGCATGCTTAGGTATAATTGTACAATATAACTTTAGAGTTTAATTTATTTGATAAATTATTATGAGAAGAGATTAATTTTAAAATATACATAAATTATTTTTAAAATATTTTGACTGTTCAAACAAAAAAAAATTACACAATGTCAATTGACATGAATATCGATGATTCAAAAATATATATATATATATATATATATGTATATATGAATATCACTTTGTTTTGATTTACTGATATATAACTTATGGATATGACATGAAAAGTAACCTTTAAAAAAATAAAAAGACAGTAAAGATGAGAACAGATCATCATTGATATTTTTATTTTTATTCATGTCATGATTGATCTGGGTATTTTTTTATTAACCAACAAAATAAAATTTTTACTATGGAGTAAGTACAAGGGCACTCAAATTTGTACAAATAATTCAGCAATGATCAGGCAAAAAAAAACCCAATTAATACAACCTGGCCTCACCATTGAGATAGCACAAACCAACTGGAAGTAAAGATTAATTTCTGCCAGCTTCCATTGCTTCTATAGGTGAACTGCTCCATGATCTGCGTGTGTTGATGGAAAGCTTTGCATTGATTGCTTAAATAAGTGCTAATCTGGCTAAAACGAAGCAATTTTTGAGCTTTGTGGAGATTATTACTCAAAATACATTTTGAATTGAAATTAAGAGAGTTTTTATGGCTTTGAATTTGAAAATAATATGTGTAATGTGTTAACAAATTAAGTTGGTGGGGATTGTAGAGTCTTCCTCGGTAATATACTCTGTCTTTACATGTGTACGATGCATTTGTTTTTTTGAGAGCAATGTTAGGTACAAAACCCCTTAAAAAATACATCGAATTTAATCTTGTCAACCTAACACAAAAGCAGACTTTATAATTTATATTGTAGAATGTATTTACATTTGGAACTAACTTTGTTCTCAAAATTTTTTCACTAGGCTAGCATTTTTTCTGGCTAACTTTTATTCTCAAATAATAACATGCAACTTGAGGCACGTACTATACTTGAGGGTACATAATGGATGGGCAAGGCTGGAAAAGCAAACAATATGGATGGGCTTAACAGCTAATCAAGCCCATCTTGCATTAACCATATTAAGCCACCCTAGCCCATTTCTTGTTGGGCTAGCTGCCGAATTGCCAATCTACTAGCAGAAGGCTTCATTTTGATCTACAGTCCGATTCTGGGAGAATGAAATGACTCAAATGAGCCTCTAATTCTTTTCAGAGGAGTAGTTGCTTAGAAATTGAGGAAATCCACAGTTATGCTTTTCATGGAAAGACCATCCAAGAAAAAATAAATACAAAAAAGATGAGTCCTTTCTTTCATGAAAACCATTGACTATGAATTGTTAGAGACCGCCTATATGTTTGAAGAATTTCTTGTGTAGGAGATTGAGTGAAATTGCCATCTCTCTTTCGGATCGGAACGCCTGGGTTTGTCTCATACACTTACTTTTTTTTTTTTTTCCCTTCACATTTTTACTGTTGCTCAGAGCAGCACGATTTGTGATTGTATTTTCTTTCTCATTTTTCTGAAGTGAGTAACCCATGTTAAGAATACTTCATTCAATTCTTGTGTTGTGCTGCAAGCTTTGGAGGGTGTAAACAATGACTTCAATACCCCGTAAGATCATATGGATAAAGAGGTAGTAGTGCCCATATGGGGATTGGAAATGTTACTAATTAACATATGAGGGAGATACTGATAAAACATCCCAATTGGCTAAAGCATGTGATTATTCAGATTACCGCTGCTTATAGGATTTTTGTTCAGTTTTGCTATTGCAGCTGCAAACTAATTTCAAGGACCTTCTCTCCATTTAAACTTAATTTAAACCACAAAATGAAAAGTCAGTTTGCTCTGTTCAATTACGAAGCCTTCAAGTGGTATTTTCTGGACCCACATTACCATACTTTATGCCTCTTTCTCTATATACGCACTAGATAAGTAATACCAAATTACACAAATTATGGTACTCTAAAAATCATAAAGCCTTTCGAAAGACAATTGTTTTTGTTTCCTAGATTGTTTGTTCAACCGTAATTCCTTGCTAGAAGGAAATGAAGGGATGATGGATATGCTTAAACTGGGAAGGGATTGGGTATGGCTGTCACCGTCGAGTTATCGTTCACAAATGGTGGCAATTATGGGTATAATGGGAGGCCGGTCTATGATAGCTGGGGGTGGCTACAGAAGTGGTTATGTGAACCGGTGCGAATGCGATTACTTTAGTGAAGAGAACCGA